AAACAAGAAATAGGGCCCGGTAGATAAATTGACTGTTTTCTTGTGTAGGATTTCTCATGAAATAAATTCAAACGTGGATCTGGATTCAAATGAAGTTTTCCTAACAGTCAATTGGAATGTTTTTCAGCAGTTTGAGAGAGAGTCAGTGTGGAAGAGCCTTCTTTAAAGTTCTTAAGTAACTCAGTCTTTCCAATTAACTCCAAGATAGAAAGCAAACATTTTAAATTCCTGTAGTCATATTCCTTTCAGTTTTATTGGGTTGTTTGTTGCTTTATGTTTATTTGTTTTTATTCTTACATCTATTGCCCTGAGGTCCAGTTTTTGATGAAGATGTGGTTTGTAAATTTGATTGTTGTTGTTGTTGTTTAGTCATTAAGTCATGTCCGACTCTTTGTGACCTGTTTATTTATTACTGAACCCTCTCTCTAATAAACACAGTTGCATCCAGATCTTCTTGAGTTTATAGGAGGCTTGGAGGAAGGACACTCTGCCAAATAAGCCGAAGTTGGTGGGGCCCACAGTGTGTCTGATTAATTTCTACAGCTGTATTTTGCTGCTTACCTCCCATGCTCCCAAAGCATGGTTGGGCAACACCTTTTACAACCTTGTTATTTTCTTCCTTTTTTTGTTCTCCTTTTCTGATCTGTGTCTGTGTTGAATCCCCTTTCTGGGTAACTGAAGTGAAATCGCAGATCTGGCTGTGCCAGTTCTAGGTGAAGACACAATGTACGGCTGCTTCAGTTACTGCCTACAGTGGTGTTTATTTATTTGTCTGCCACCCTGTCTGTTTATTTATTTATTTGGAAAATAAGTTAAGTAGCATTAACAAATTGCCCTTCATTAATGAGGTGGAGCTGTTGGGTTCACGCCCAACGAGACTGGGTGTGATTCAGGAACACAAAACAACACCTCAAGTGGTAGTTTGCTGCCACAGCTTAAGTTGTGTCCTTTACACAAGTGTACACTGCCAAGAGCGTCATTGCCAGCGTGTCTGGAGGTACAGTAAGAATTGAGACCAAGGGTAGGTAACTGGTGGCCCTGCAGGTTTTGCTGGATTATTGTTCCTACGACTTTGTTTTGTTTCTCCGCTGCTTTTGTCCCGTAAAGGAGCTCAAGGCAGCTCACAATAATTAAAAAGTCCTCTTTTCAGAGCACGTTAGCATCGTCTCTCGAAACTCAAGGATGCCTACATTTCAAGATAGACTGTGCCAACAAATCGAGACAGTTTGGTGAGAGTTTTCACTTACCGTGTGGAAATGAGAAAAGGATGGCGTCTTCCTCCCAATAGAATGTTCTGCAATTTGTCAAAATGGCTCTACGCAAAACTGGGATCTTTTCCAGCTGGGAAGGAAACTGTGTAGACGCAGCAAGAATTGGGTGGATTGAACAAAGAAGGGGCAAACGTCTGATATTTGAGGGAGGTAGTTCTGATCTTCTGTCCTACCTTTGTTGCTTTCAGGCACTTTTCCTGTCCTCCTGACAGAGCTGGTGGTGGGCGTTTTCCTGCAGGTCCTGGGCCTGCCCTTTGTGGCGGTCTCCCAGGTGTCCCTTTTTTCTAAAGTCACAGCGGAGAGAACACAAGGTGAGCCTCATCATCCCGTAACATTGCCCTCTGATTTGTGTCTGAAGATGACGTGGACCTTTGGCCCATCAGAGCTCGTACTGTTGCGCAATGATTGTTCTTCAAAGTCCTTTGCCTTTTTAAAGCTTTTTTCTTTTGCTCATTTTGGTTCACTGGACTGCGAGTCTTTTCAGCATTTGGGGGCAGGGGGGCTAACCTCACTCATAACATTGAGCGGTTTCATAATGTTGACAGCAAAACAACTCTACCCATTGTTGTCCTTGAGAAAGGTCCGCATCAGATTTGCCAAAACATGGTTTCCAGAATCAGGTGCTTGCGTATGTTATAAAAGTCATATTAAAAACAAGAAATAGGGCCCGGTAGATAAATTGACTGTTTTCTTGTGTAGGATTTCTCATGAAATAAATTCAAACGTGGATCTGGATTCAAATGAAGTTTTCCTAACAGTCAATTGGAATGTTTTTCAGCAGTTTGAGAGAGAGTCAGTGTGGAAGAGCCTTCTTTAAAGTTCTTAAGTAACTCAGTCTTTCCAATTAACTCCAAGATAGAAAGCAAACATTTTAAATTCCTGTAGTCATATTCCTTTCAGTTTTATTGGGTTGTTTGTTGCTTTATGTTTATTTGTTTTTATTCTTACATCTATTGCCCTGAGGTCCAGTTTTTGATGAAGATGTGGTTTGTAAATTTGATTGTTGTTGTTGTTGTTTAGTCATTAAGTCATGTCCGACTCTTTGTGACCTGTTTATTTATTACTGAACCCTCTCTCTAATAAACACAGTTGCATCCAGACCTTCTTGAGTTTATAGGAGGCTTGGAGGAAGGACATTCTGCCAAATAAGCCGAAGTTGGTGGGGCCCACAGTGTGTCTGATTAATTTCTACAGCTGTATTTTGCTGCTTACCTCCCATGCTCCCAAAGCATGGTTGGGCAACACCTTTTACAACCTTGTTATTTTCTTCTTTTTTTGTTCTCCTTTTCTGATCTGTGTCTGTGTTGAATCCCCTTTCTGGGTAACTGAAGTGAAATCGCAGATCTGGCTGTGCCAGTTCTAGGTGAAGACACAATGTACGGCTGCTTCAGTTACTGCCTACAGTGGTGTTTATTTATTTGTCTGCCACCCTGTCTGTTTATTTATTTATTTGGAAAATAAGTTAAGTAGCATTAACAAATTGCCCTTCATTAATGAGGTGGAGCTGTTGGGTTCACGCCCAACGAGACTGGGTGTGATTCAGGAACACAAAACAACACCTCAAGTGGTAGTTTGCTGCCACAGCTTAAGTTGTGTCCTTTACGCAAGTGTACACTGCCAAGAGCGTCATTGCCAGCGTATCTGGAGGTACAGTAAGAATTGAGACCAAGGGTAGGTAACTGGTGGCCCTGCAGGTTTTGCTGGATTATTGTTCCTACGACTTTGTTTTGTTTCTCCGCTGCCTTTGTCCCGTGAAGGAGCTCAAGGCAGCTCACAATAATTAATATGCAAGCAAAGCTTTAAAAAGGACAATAAATATACAAATAAACAGGGCACGTAAACATTGATCATGCAGATATTGAGACACCCTTTTAAAACATGCTTAAAAATCATTGGGGGGGCAGTCCACCTTTGATGCCCAATGTGGTTGTCAAAATCCTGTGGAAAAATAAATGTCTTCACCTGAGGGGTGTGGGCCCACCTAGCCTCATAAAGGAGAACATGCCAGAACCTGGGAGCAACCACAGAGAGCAGCTCTCTTTTACATTCCCTCCAGAGGTGTCTGTGAAGGTGCTAGGACTGGCGGAAGGTAGATCCATTGAGTTATGTCGTTTGTGGTTCCACCTCTCCAGGTTGAAGGATTTGTGCACCAAGGAGAAGGTGATGGTCCAGCTTACAGAGGTCTTCACTCCATCCCAGAACCTTAAAATGGCTGCTGTGAAGCTAAGGGTTTTTTTTAAAATGGTAGCAGTACCAATAGGCCTGAGAAATAGATTATCTATTTCTCTTCTGTGTTCTGCTTTGCTTCTTTTTAAAAAATGTTTCTGTTGACATGGTTTCACCTGTGTTTAATTGGTTCCATATTCTAGTGCTCAGCTTCGCCAACGACTCTTGAATGCCGTTCCTTGGGGGAAAGGTGAAGTACCAATCTAATAACAGATTTTATTTTATTTTTTTGGCAGGGTTCAGCCAGGGTCTTCGGCGCTCCGTTGGGGGAATCGCAACCATCCTTGGGCCTCTGTGGGCTGGGGGCCTGACCACAAACCTTTACATCATGTTGGGAGTGATGATGGGGCTGTTGACTCTCCTGATGGTGAGTGATTCAAACCCACATATCTCCTGAGTCCACTATATCACAATGGGTAATCTAGTGTGATAACTAAATGTATCAATGTGAGAACAATCTTGAACTTTCTTATGCATGCATGTGTAGACTCCAGCCATGCCACATTGCTGAGGAGGTTGCGAACAACTGGTTGAAGAGGAAAGGTGGGTATGCAGAGAGATTTAAAGGAAAAGAGGGAGAAAATAGCATAATGTCAAAGGAGTGGTAGGCTTCGCTCTAAGGCAGAGTTAGGGGAGCTGTGATCTTCCAGATGTGATTGAGCTGCAGCACCAATCATCCTCACCCAACCTAGCTAATGGTAAAGCAAAGGGTGCTGCTTATATAGGGCTTAAAGCACTCTCTGGGTGGTTTATCTTTTAATTATGCAAGCTAAACATTGCCCCTCTTCCCCAGCAAGCTGGGTAATCGATTTATGGACCTTGGAAGGATGGAAGGCTGAATAAACCTCAAACCAGCTACCAGAGGCTGGGATCGAACTCAAGCTGTGAGCAGAGTCTTCACTGCAGTACTGCAGTTTAACCACAATAGCCTGAGACTCCTACTAGTAATGATGGGAGGTGCAGTCCTGCAACCTCTGGAGTGGCAGCACGCCTCCCATTCCTGTTCGAGGCCTCTAACGTGAATGCAAAAATAGGTTCTGCGGTCAACTCTGATCTGCTCTTCTTCTGACTACTCTGATTATTCCATCCCTGATGCTGACGGACTCTGTTTTTCCCCTCCTCCTGCCGCAGATTATGGTGGGACTCTCCTATACATACCTTATAGAACCACCCAGGCGTTGTTATTTTCTTCCTTTTTTTGTTCTCCTTTTCTGATCTGTGTCTGTGTTGAATCCCCTTTCTGGGTAACTGAAATGAAATCACAGATCTGGCTGTGCCAGTTCCAGGTGAAGACACAATGTATGGGTGCTTCAGTTACTGCCTACAGTGGTGTTTGTTTATTTGTCTGCCACCCTGTCTGTTTATTTATTTATTTGGAAAATAATTTAAGTAGCATTAACAAATTGTCCTTCATTAATGAGGTGGAGCTGTTGGCCAACGAGACTGGGTGTGATTCAGGAACACAAAACAACACCTCAAGTGGTAGTTTGCTGCCACAGCTTAAGTTGTGTCCTTTACGCAAGTGTACACTGCCAAGAGCGTCATTGCCAGCGTATCTGGAGGTACAGTAAGAATTGAGACCAAGGGTAGGAAACTGGTGGCCCTGCAGGTTTTGCTGGATTATTGTTCCTACGACTTTGTTTTGTTTCTCCGCTGCTTTTGTCCCGTAAAGGAGCTCAAGGCAGCTCACAATAATTAAAATGCAAGTAAAGCTCTAAAAAGGACAATAAATACACAGTTAAAAAACCCAAATAAACAGGGCATGTTTATTGATCGTGCAAATATTGAGACACCCTTTAAAAACATGCTTAAAAATCATTGGGGGGGGGGCAGTCCACCTTTGATGCCTGATGTGGTTGTCAAAATCCTGTGGAAAAATAAATGTCTTCACCTGAGGGGTGGGGGCCCACTTAGCCTCATAAAGGAGAACATGCCAGAACCTGGGAGCAACCACAGAGAGCAGCTCTCTTTTACATTCCCTCCAGAGGTGTCTGTGAAGGTGCTAGGACTGGCGGAAGGTAGATCCATCGAGCTATGTCGTTTGTGGTTACACCTCTCCAGGTTGAAGGATTTGTGCACCAAGGAAAAGGTGATGGTCCAGCTTACAGAGGTCTTCACTCCATCCCAGAACCTTAAAATGGCTGCTGTGAAGCTAAGGGTTTTTTTTAAATGGCAGCAGTACCAATAGGCCTGAGAAATAGATTATCTATTTCTCTTCTGTGTTCTGCTTTGCTTCTTTTTTTAAAAAATGTTTCTGTTGACATGGTTTCACCTGTGTTCAGCTTCGCCAACGACTCTTGAATGCCGTTCCTTGGGAGAAAGGTGAAGTACCAATCTAATAACAGATTTTATTTTATTTTTTGGCAGGGTTCAGCCAGGGTCTTCGTGGAGGGAGGCCCTAGTGCAGTTGAGGGTTCCTAAAGGAGAGGGGGAAATATGAACACCCCCAACTCCCCATATAAGCTGTCCTACGGGGAGGAGAGTCTTGGTCACCCAGAGTGGCAGAGAGCGCCCACTTCCTGAGAACCAACATCCACCCTGCTCTGGGAAGAGAAAGAGGGAACTGGCCCATTGGACTGGGGGCGAGCCAGGGGCCTCTGGAGAGAGACAATCCAAGTTATTGCCCTCATCGTGGGCGAACGGACCCTCATTGCCAAAAGTGGGTCAGTGTCAAAGAAGCCTTGGGATTGGGGGGAGGAATGGGTGGACCATCCACTTCCCCAGTGATGAGAACCGGGATCATTGGGGAACTCGTAGATCTTCCAGTAAAGGGAATGGAGGACAATGGGCCATAGATTCGGTTAGCCAGCCAGTGCCTTCAGCTGGATCTGACTGGGAGTGTTGTTTGAATCTGTTACTTGTGAACCCTCTCTCTAATAAACACAGTTGCATCCAGATCTTCTTGAGTTTATAGGAGGCTTGGAGGAAGGACACTCTGCCAAATAAGCCGAAGTTGGTGGGGCCCACAGTGTGTCTGATTAATTTCTACAGCTGTATTTTGCTGCTTACCTCCCATGCTCCCAAAGCATGGTTGGGCAACACCTTTTACAACCTTGTTATTTTCTTCCTTTTTTTGTTCTCCTTTTCTGATCTGTGTCTGTGTTGAATCCCCTTTCTGGGTAACTGAAATGAAATCACAGATCTGGCTGTGCCAGTTCCAGGTGAAGACACAATGTATGGGTGCTTCAGTTACTGCCTACAGTGGTGTTTGTTTATTTGTCTGCCACCCTGTCTGTTTATTTATTTATTTGGAAAATAATTTAAGTAGCATTAACAAATTGTCCTTCATTAATGAGGTGGAGCTGTTGGCCAACGAGACTGGGTGTGATTCAGGAACACAAAACAACACCTCAAGTGGTAGTTTGCTGCCACAGCTTAAGTTGTGTCCTTTACGCAAGTGTACACTGCCAAGAGCGTCATTGCCAGCGTATCTGGAGGTACAGTAAGAATTGAGACCAAGGGTAGGAAACTGGTGGCCCTGCAGGTTTTGCTGGATTATTGTTCCTACGACTTTGTTTTGTTTCTCCGCTGCTTTTGTCCCGTAAAGGAGCTCAAGGCAGCTCACAATAATTAAAACGCAAGTAAAGCTCTAAAAAGGACAATAAATACACAGTCAAAAAACCCAAAGAAACAGGGCATGTTTATTGATCGTGCAAATATTGAGACACCCTTTAAAAACATGCTTAAAAATCATTGGGGGGGGGGCAGTCCACCTTTGATGCCTGATGTGGTTGTCAAAATCCTGTGGAAAAATAAATGTCTTCACCTGAGGGGTGGGGGCCCACTTAGCCTCATAAAGGAGAACATGCCAGAACCTGGGAGCAACCACAGAGAGCAGCTCTCTTTTACATTCCCTCCAGAGGTGTCTGTGAAGGTGCTAGGACTGGCGGAAGGTAGATCCATCGAGCTATGTCGTTTGTGGTTACACCTCTCCAGGTTGAAGGATTTGTGCACCAAGGAAAAGGTGATGGTCCAGCTTACAGAGGTCTTCACTCCATCCCAGAACCTTAAAATGGCTGCTGTGAAGCTAAGGGTTTTTTTTAAATGGCAGCAGTACCAATAGGCCTGAGAAATAGATTATCTATTTCTCTTCTGTGTTCTGCTTTGCTTCTTTTTTTAAAAAATGTTTCTGTTGACATGGTTTCACCTGTGTTCAGCTTCGCCAACGACTCTTGAATGCCGTTCCTTGGGGGAAAGGTGAAGTACCAATCTAATAACAGATTTTATTTTATTTTTTTGGCAGGGTTCAGCCAGGGTCTTCGGCGCTCCGTTGGGGGAATCGCAACCATCCTTGGGCCTCTGTGGGCTGGGGGCCTGACCACAAACCTTTACATCATGTTGGGAGTGATGATGGGGCTGTTGACTCTCCTGATGGTGAGTGATTCAAACCCACATATCTCCTGAGTCCACTATATCACAATGGGTAATCTAGTGTGATAACTAAATGTCTCAATGTGAGAACAATCTTGAACTTTCTTATGCATGCATGTGTAGACTCCAGCCATGCCACATTGCTGAGGAGGTTGCGTACAACTGGTTGAAGAGGAAAGGTGGGTATGCAGAGAGATTTAAAGGAAAAGAGGGAGAAAATAGCATAATGTCAAAGGAGTGGTAGGCTTCGCTCTAAGGCAGAGTTAGGGGAGCTGTGATCTTCCAGATGTGATTGAGCTGCAGCACCAATCATCCTCACCCAACCTAGCTAATGGTAAAGCAAAGGGTGCTGCTTATATAGGGCTTAAAGCACTCTCTGGGTGGTTTATCTTTTAATTATGCAAGCTAAACACTGCCCCTCTTCCCCAGCAAGCTGGGTAATCGATTTATGGACCTTGGAAGGATGGAAGGCTGAATAAACCTCAAACCAGCTACCAGAGGCTGGGATCGAACTCAAGCTGTGAGCAGAGTCTTCACTGCAGTACTGCAGTTTAACCACAATAGCCTGAGACTCCTACTAGTAATGATGGGAGGTGCAGTCCTGCAACCTCTGGAGTGGCAGCACGCCTCCCATTCCTGTTCGAGGCCTCTAACGTGAATGCAAAAATAGGTTCTGCGGTCAACTCTGATCTGCTCTTCTTCTGACTACTCTGATTATTCCATCCCTGATGCTGACGGACTCTGTTTTTCCCCTCCTCCTGCCGCAGATTATGGTGGGGCTCTCCTATACATACCTTATAGAACCACCCAGGCGGGACCTTTCACCAAGAACTTCCCAGGAAGAATGCCGCTCATGAAAGACCGCAGGGTTGGTTTTTTAGAGATGGATTTGAAGAAATGGGAAAGTGCGCAGTCCACCAGGTGAGAAAAGCTACTCCCATTCCTACATGTTGGGTGTTCACGTGGCTTTTAAGCCATAGTAGCCAAATGAGGTCTGGAGAAGCTGGCAATAAGTTACATTGGGTGCCTATATGCAGACACATACATCTGTGATTCTGTTCTTTTCTGGGTCCTATGCAGGCAGCAGATGACGTGTGCAGAAAAACGTGGGACAGCTCTGTTCTGTTTTGCCATGTGGAACAAATTGTGGCATAGTTTTATCCCCATTAATGTTTTTTTTAAATGCTGTGGTACAAGTACAAGGGCCAGCTCTGCTAGTGAAGTTTTCATTATGATAATCAAATTTTTGTTTACTAGTGAATCCCAGTTATCCGGAAGTTGAGTCATGGCAGCTGGACTTCTTGTTCGGTTGAAACGAAGAAGCTACTTAAATGAGTCACGAAACATTTCAACCTAATAAGAAAGAAATCCATTTGCCCGTGATGCATCTTCCAGATAACCTCACCTGGATGATAGAGAATCTTCACATATCTAGTAAATCCAGGGTTTATGGTGACTTTATGTGTTTATAGTAGTAAATACCATTGCTCTATTTTTAAAGCCTTCCTGCGCACATTTGGGGGATGTCGTTATGTAAAGCTATTGATTTTAATGGGACGTGGTGGCACTGCAGGTTAAACCACAGAAGCCTCTGTGCTGCAAGGCCAGAAGACCTGCAGTCATAAGATCAAATCCCCGCGACGGAGGGAGCTCCCGTCACTTGTCCCAGCTCCTGCCAACCTAGCAGTTCAAAAGCATGTGAATGCGAGTCGATAAATAGGGACCACCTCGGTGGGAAGGCAACAGCTTTCTGTGTCTAGTCGCGCTGGCCATGTGACCACGGAAACTGTCTACGGACAAACACTGGCTCTACGGCTTGGAGACGGGGATGAGCACCGCTCCCTAGAGTCAGACATGACTATACTAAATGTCAAGGGGAACCTTTACCTTTTACCTTTACTGATGTTAATCCTTGAGAATGGCCTACATTTGGTAGGTGGCATGAAGTGAAACCATCGTCTTCTGTGTGCAGTTCTGTCTGCTAAAGCTTCTTTGTTTAAGAGGGATGGAAAAAGTCAAGCAGCCCAGGGGCAAATGTTTCCAAAACCTGTTGCAGGCCACATCTTTCCCCTCCCTCAAAGAGAAAGGTAGCCATACAGAGGAGGGGCAGTATCCATTCTCCATCATCCCAGACTACAAGAGACACAACGATGGGTTCAAGCTACAGAAAGCCAGATCTAGGCTCAAAATGAGGAGAAAAAACTTCTTTACTGTTGAAGCAGTATGACAGTGGAACCCATGACCTCAGAGGGAGGTGGTGAGTGCTCCAGCACTGGAGGCCTTCAAGAGAAAATTGGACCACCCTCTGTCAGAGAGCTGCTTTGATTCGGATTCCTGCCTTGAGCAGGACTCGATGGCCTGAAAGGCTCCTTCTAATTCCATGATTCTATACTCTGATGAACAAAGTTTTTGAAGGTCACTTCCGGTTTTGTAACAACCCTTCTTTGGAGGGAAATAGTGCTTTGTGATAAAGAAGTCTCATGGATTCTGGAGGCTCCCAGGTGTCGGATTTCTTCCCCCTTTTCAGGAAATTCAGGAAGGTTTAGGAAATACAGGTAGGGGGGCATGTGTAACTCATGTGTTGTGTGTTGTTTAGCCCTTCCCTCCTTTGTAAAGGTGAGGAACCTCTTTCAGCTCCTCTAAAAAAAAGCACTTGTCCTAGGCTAAGGGAAATCTAGCAAATTCTCCTCATAATAGCTTAAAGTTCGAGTTGTTTTCATCATGAATATGAAGATATTTATGACTTTTTGTAAATTCTCATCTAGAAAATTAAGTTCTTTGAAATGCTTGCTGCTCACCCATTTCTAATCTATGTGTTCTCCTGTTTACACGTCCTTGACTGTAAACTATAATAAAGGCAAGGAAGGACCCTTCACCGTCCTCAATGAGATGCCAAAGGCTGCAGAAGCCCAGCTTGGAAAATATACTTTCCAGTTGACAACTCCCAGAATGCTAGGCTGACTGGTCGAATCTGGGAACTGTAGTGAAAAAATGTCTTAGTCAGATGGTGCCAAGGAGGGACCCACAGCCCTGGGAAAAGGGGACTTTCTGATTAGAGAGGATGGTTAGGTCATCTGCCAGCAACCTTGGGCTTTCCATGTTCCTCTGAATAGTTACAATCCTTGCATTCGCTGGGAGGAAGCAGAAGCTGCAGCTATAGCCTCTGTATCGCATCTTCCAGCAGCTGATGTGCAGAGTTCAGGAATACATTGCAGATGGTTCCCAACTGGAAGTTACAACCTGTTTACACCTAACCAGGTATCTTGAAATCCAGAGTTAGCAAAAACAAACAAACAAACAAACAAAACAAAACAAACACACACACACACACAAATTAGGGATAGAGAGGAGACCTCTGCCTCCCACAATCCTTTGCCCATGTCAACCCATGGTAGATGCTGTTCAGAGCTGGATCCCCATGTGCTTAACAGCCACACAGTGTGATTTCTCTCAGTGTGTCAAGACATTTCGAGAAACCTGGTCTCACCTCTCCCCCTCCTGTCACTCTCCTGTAGGTGTCCTTCTGATTGGTGCTGTGGCCCTCCCCTGACTGGATCCCCACTTCCACGTTGCTGATCTCTCACTGGGAAGAGACCCAGGGAAGCACTTGTATCCATCCAGAGAGCAACACCCAACGGGTATAGGACTACCGTGTTCTGGCGCCTTCCGGCTTGATTTGCACATTGTCCCCCTGACACGGATGTCTCAGACTTGGCTCAGCACTGCCCCCTGTGGGTGGGGTATGCCATTTCCTGTCACACCTTTAATAGCACTTTATTATTTTTGCCCGGTGGGACCCCCACAAGGCACTTTTCTTTAAATGGTGGAAAGAACTAGGGTGGGGATTGTAGAAACTTTTCGTCTGTGAAGGACCTTTTGAATTTTGGTCTACTTCAGCTTTTTCCCAACCTGCTGCCGTTTGAATATTTTGGATTTCAGCCTCCAGCCTGAATGCTCATGGTGATCGGACTTCATCCAGTCTATCTGGAGGTTTGTGGCTTGGGCAAGACTGCCGCCCCGGTTCCTAAGACTGTAAGAGCTTTTCTTTCTTTCTCTCCTGTTCTCAGTGCTCCCTGAACCTGGGAGCAGTGGGGCCTGATCCTAGCCCTCCTGAGGTTGCAGTCTGAACCTCTGGTCTCCCCCCCAGAAGGCCACCTGTCCTTAGCTTTGATGCCGTCATCTGGAGCTTCTTCCAGCGATTGTATGGGTTTTTCTCCATCTTGTAAGTTTGAAATATCTCTCGAAAGATTTATTTACCGGCAGGAAGAGTCTCCGGCTAAAATAACCCTCCTTGTGACATTGCCAAATGTGGTGCGTGAGAACTTGTCTGCAATTGAATTCAGCTGAAAGAGGTTCTCCATCGCTTGACCTTCAACCTGGGCTTGTCATCATGGTTGCAACCTCAGAGAGCCACTGTGATTGTGGATAATTTAGCTTCCCTTTCTCTCTCCTCCTCAGTTTTCTGTGTGTTTCCATTGGAAGCTGGGAGAGATCACAATCTTGAGAACCAGTGCGGAGTCTGATTCAAGAACCTCTGCTACCCAAAGTCCCTGTTTGCAGCATCCTATGGGACGACAACGCTCAGCTAGCTGTCTCTGAGAAAGTCGCAGGCAGGGCACCTATCAAAGATCATGACTGGCTTTGAGCAGTTGAACGTTGAGGACAGCTTCTGGATAGCTGCTAATCATCCTATATTCCACACCTTTAGAGCAGCCTTCCCCATCCCAGTCTTGTCGGTTGGGGGGATAGCTGGAGGATAGCGAGTTGAGGAAGGCTGTCTTAGGGAGTAGCTACAAGCAGGATGATAATAATCCTTTGGTAGGATGCTTTGGGAGGTAGATGGGCAATCTTTAGGAAGGTGAGGATGTGCATAACATTCCCTAGGCCCTGGTATCTGCTCAATATTTTTTCACAGTTTTTTTTTTCAAGCTGGAAAAGTGCCATGGTGTCCTCTAGGGGCCAAAAGATAAGAAAAATAAGTGGGGTGGACAAAGTCTCCATGCCCTCTGGATGACACAAGGGAGAGTAAAGCCACTGGAGTGGAGCCTGTGGGGAAGGCTGCCTTTGTAACCTGTTTCCTCCTAAAGGCTTATCCGATTTGATGAGTAGATCAGCTGTCAGGGAGGGGGAGAAAGGAGCTGCCTCAGCACACAGAAATCTAAGACTTCCTCCGCCTGTTTGTGTTATAATATTACTACAACAGGTAAACTCCCATTTCCAGAGAGGTTGGGAGCGGGCACCACCATGTCACAAAAGTGTGCATGGGATCACACACTTCAGCACTGAATATCTAGCACATACAATCCACATTTACACTTTTACGTGTGCGAGCACAGGGTGTCCCCACTGCTGCCGCCATGGCCTCTTTACTTGTCTTGTCATGGTTAGGAGGTGGGACTCCCTTCCGTGCCTGAGATCTACCTGCGGAAGCCTTTGGGTGCAAGTTTCCTTCACCCGAGAGTGATACGAGGATGCTCATGGAGGACTCCTGTACAGTACATACCCGTTATATTTTTTTATTAAGTACATTTAGATCTCACCCTTCCTCCTGTGGGCTCCCCTTGGTATATACACGGTTCTCGTCTTCCTCCACTTCATCTGCACAACAACCTTGTGAAGTAGGTTTTGCTGAGAAAGAGTGACTTGGCACGTGCTTCCAGACAGAGAGTTCTTAGCTCTACCAGTTATTCTCTATTGGGCCCATCTTTGTGTTTTTTTCCCCCCAGTAGATTTTCTCTGTAAGAAAAAGGATAGAAGGAGGGGGTGGCAAAACATTGGCGGGTTAGAATCTTGAGGACGATAAAAGTTGGTGGCCAAGAAACGGTGGTTGCGCAATAGAAGCCTCATCAAGACACGCCCTGCGTCTTTCCTTGTGGATGTTGTTAAACTGGAATGGACATCATTCTTTACCCTTGGTTGTCTTAGCTGAGGCTGCTGGCAGCTGCCCTCCGGCCGTTGATGGAGGGCCACTCTTTGCCCTCCCTTGTTCCTTGGGCTCATTTCTGGTTTATGTGCTACGGTGGACAATTTGAGACTCTGCTACACGGTAACTCCTCGTAGCTCTTACCAACGCAGCAAAATAGTGAAGCACGGTGGGAGTTAAGAGCTCAATGACATCTGGAGAGCCAGAATTGGCCCACCTTGTTAGAAAGTCATACCCATGTTTGGAAGTGGGTTTTGGAAGGGTTTGTTGTTAATGTCCTTTTCTACAGTAAGCCGTTGCGTTCTGACCATATTGATCAAACAGACCCAAATGTTATGTCCCCTCCGGCAGCAATAATAGTGGGTTGGGAAGGGCTAACTTAATACAGAGAACCTGGGAAGTGGAGATGTTTTCCTTTGTCTGGGTTCAGCTGGTACATGGAAGGTGGTTTCCATATACAGAGCATGGTCTGTGTAGATGTTGGTTCAAGATTCCTTACAAACTGGTCCTCCATCCCATTCTTATTTCTTCAGTTTCTGTTGCTTTTTTTTAATGTTGGGGGAAGTGGGAATTTTGAATATGTAAAAGGTCTCAGATTGGTTGGAACATGGTAAGGAGTGCTCTTTTTTTTCTATTGTTCTTGTGGATGGGAACTCTGTGCTGCTGAGCTCCCTGGTGCCCTCCATTGTGGGTTGTGCTGCTTGCCTGTACCTCCATCCCTTCCCTTTTTTAATGTTTCCCAACACCCTTCATTTATTGGGATTTTTTTTTCCTCCTTTGGATTATTTTTGCTGCTATCTGTCTAGCCTGCCTGCTAAGACCCAAAGACAAGAAAAGGGAAGGCTCTGAGGAATAGTGGGTAGATATTCCTCACGTTCTAGCAATTTCAGTTGAGGGTGTTTTGATTATATTTCTTTGCCTTTATTTGCTTGCTTACTTTTCTTGTTGGTTTTTTTTTGAAGAAGGAGCTGTGGATAAAATTTTTATTTTGTCATTTTCCCCCTTTAAATGTTTTCACTGTTGATTTTTCAAAAAAATGCTATTCCTTTAATTTACTGTGCATTTATTTTGTTGTATTTAATGTGTGATACTTCATTCCTATTGTTGTTTCATCTTTTATCATTTTTATTTATTGATCTATTTGATTTATATGCCACCCCATTAGTGTAAGCTACACTAGGTGGCAAAAGATTAAAACTTTAAACCCCATGTAATAAAATACATTCATTAATATCGCGATTCACAAGGATAGGTCCATAACTCACACAAAAAGAGTGGGAAAATTAACATTAACAGCATCTGGGAGAATCAGTTGTTGAAGGCAACTTTGAATGGTTCTTTCCCCACCAATTTCTTGAACGTCGTAAGGAGGGAAGGAGCCTGCCGTATCTCGATTGGTAAGTTATTCTGGAGAGTGAGGGCCACCACTGAAAAGGCCATGATACCTTGTCAATCAATGCCTTTTTGGGGCCCCTAGATGTGGCCATTTTTCACAATATGGGCTGAAAGGAACAGGTGAAATGGGTAAATGACTTCTGAGAGAGAGGTCCTGACAAATATTGCAGTCCTAAACCATTAAGAGCTTCATGGGTCATCTCCAGCACCTTGAATTAAGCAGGGAAACTGACAGAGTGTCAATGAAGTTGTGCTAAGACTGGAGATATCTGATCACATTTACTAATCCCAGAAATCAGTCCACGTTTCAGACCTGCTGAAATTTCTGTACTGTTTTGAAGGGGCGTCCTGTGTAGAGAGCATTGCACTAGTCTGTTTTTGAGATTACCAACACATGAACCGCTGTTACTAGGCGTTGTGTATCCAGAAAGGGGCACGGCTAGGCAATCAACCAGAGTTGATGAAAGGCACTCTTTTCCACAACCAAAATTTGATTTTCTGTAGACAGTGCTGGGTCCAGGAGGACCCCCAGAACTTTGGACCTGATCCTGCAGGGGAAGTGTAACCCCATCCAAGCTAGGTAGGTTTCCCTCTAGCTAGTCTAACACACTTCCTAACAATAGGAACTCCATCTTATTTGGATGTGGTTTCAGTTTTATTTTATTTTTTGGCTCTTTGTTGGTTTTTTTAATTGTTTGGTGGGTGAGTGAGTATTCTCCCCCCCCCCATTGTGTATAAGACTGGTGGTGGTGGGTATCTTGGCTTGAAAAGCATTTTTGTGTATCCTCCAGTGGTGGTGAGCACCGCCAGAGGCTTTCTTTCTAAACTACTTTCTGCATCAATCTGATGATTTCTCCCCCTTTCTCGTGTACTGTTGCCTGCTTTGGGAGTAGACTGATTTCCCCCCTTTCTCGTGCACTGTTGCCTGCTTTGGGAGTAGACTGGTTCTCTGTTGCCTTGCCTCTTCTCCTTCCTTCCTCTTTCCTCTTTCTTTCTTCTTCCTCCTTCTAGTTTTAAAGGATTCTGTCCTGTGTTTGAAAAACATGAATTGGAAACCCAAAATAAAAGAAACCTGAATGAGGCTTTCATTTTCATATCAAATAAAAATATA